TATTTGCTTTTGTTCATATCAACATGTCGTTGGCACTAGTTATCCCAAAGATCTCTTCATTAGATGAACACAGCTTTGTTATTATTTACTCCAAAGCAAGGAATAGCCTAGCCAACATCGTCAATATGTAACACAAAATCCATAATATACAGTAAGATTAGGTGAAGTATAATCAAAGTGTCACCTGAAGCCCTGGCCCACTATCTTATTCTTCTTCCGGGAAGGAAAAACCATTGGCACAAAGAAGTCATTTTCTGGTCCTCAAAATGACCAGCACCTCTGGGTTTGCTATTAAATGGGGCATAAGGCATCCAAACACCTATTCTTTGAAGGAAAGTTGGGGGGAATATTACATTTGCTTGTTTAGAAGATGGCGAATTCTGCTGAAAGATGGTAAAGTCCTGCTGAAAGAAAACTGACCCTTGAAATTCCCTACCCCAAGATACAGGGTGTGAAAAGGTTGGGAAATTTCTCACTGCTTGCACCTGAACTAATTCTTTATTAGAATTAGACATTGTCTAGTGGGGCGGGGTAAAAAAATCTAATAAATAAATAAATAAATCCCACAAAGTAGATAAATATCACCCACACCCACACAAATATGCTGCTGTGGTCTAATGCAACAGTGGGCAATTCATGATCCTTGTCTTAATTTCAAAAGCTTTCTGTAGGCTACTCTTTCAAACTTGCCGAAACAATAATTTATTCCTCCCCTGGCAGCCCTATACTGAGAAGAGAGAAAGAAAGGAAAACAGAAGAAGGAAAGGAAGGCAGCAGATAGAGAAAAGAAAATGTTTACCAAGCCCAGCCTTGCTACCCATCAGGATGTTGGTTCAGGAGGTCTGGCTAAAACTAAATGCTACCTGCCATGCAGGTCTCTTCTGATCATCTTTGAACAAAACCATTTATTTAATGAGTTGTATTTGGATGTTATTTCTCTATTTTATCTCAACTCTGTTTTCATCTCCTTCTGTGTCGCTTACAGTTTGTGTATATTTACATGTTTTAAAAGACCACTAACTTAGGGATGTCTTCTTTCGTTCTCAGTAAAGAACTGTCAAATTTACGTGGCACCATATAGATCCACTGCCCTTAATATATTGAGGCCATTCTTATATGGTACCATATGAGAATTAGTTAAGATCCACTGCCCTTAATATATTGAGGCCACATGTTCTATAGCAGCTAATGCACACACTTTAGCAGCACTAATATACTGGTAATGGTAGTGGTAGTGGAAGTCATATCCCTTACAGAGTCCAACCTTTCACAGTATGTTCTGTTTTCTTTGTAAAACCCAAAGATGACAATCATACGCATTATTAAACTGCCTTTCACTATAGCAGCTGTCACCGACTCAGTGAGGCTTATTTAGCATGCAGCTGCTCTAACAAAAACACATGAACATGTAAATCCTCTCAAAATTACTAGCCTAGAAAACTAGATTTTACTAACCTAGCTGCCCTGTGTAGGAGAATGGCTTAAATGAAGACATGAAGAGCAACAACTAATCTTGGCTATGTTTTGCCAAATTTTCCTCGAAGCAAACTTTCCTTGCCTACAATAACACAAAGTGGGATGAAGCAGAATTTGGGATTCTCTGCATTTCAGCCTTCATATTGACAACAACAACAAAAAAGCAATTGTACAAAGTGTACTGCCTCACTATTTAGGGGGAGGACAGGGAAGTCCCTTTCCCTCTTCCTTCTGCAGTTTATCTCTCCTCCCTATTGTCTGAAAACCTAAATCCAAGAAGAACACATTGAACAAATAAAAACCCTTAACTGGCGTTTTTTGGACCAGAATGCTGACAAATTACCTTTTTGGACTCATCATCATCATATGTTGTCAAGTCAATTCTGCCTTATGGTGCCCCCTTTTCAATGTTTTTCAAGACAGCTGACTACTCTGTGGTTTCCCATTTCCTTCTTTTAGGGGCACCTGGGGACTGTGCAGCTAGCCCAAGGCTACACAGTCTGGCTCTACTTGCAGGAGGCACAGTGGGGAATCAAACTCCAACCTCTGACTCTGCAGCCAGATACCTAGACCAATGAGATATCCTAAAGCTCTGTTAAATGTCACACTTAATAGCATCCTCCTCATTAGATGGTAATGTGTTACTTATTTTGCTATATTTGAGGGTCTCATCTTCTCATCCTGGTGAGAGGGAACCCTCAACGTCTAGCCCAAATCCTGCCCAGATAGAAACCCTGTCTATGTACTTCCATCTACAGCCATATTTATACAGAAGGGACATATAAAGAGTTCTTAAAAGATGCCTGGTCAACAGAAGACTCCTCTCACAGGAGACCTGGAAAAGTTCAGACAACCACTCACTTTTCATAAACCCCCATCTCTCATTTGGATAGTCCAAGATTTTAAAAACTCTCAGCAATGTAATTTATTTAGCCTCCCTTTTTAAAACTACAATTTTAGAAACCTCTTAAGGAGAAGAAGGATATAAGAGAAATGAGAATTTTGAACTTCGTAAAGCTGCTTTCTGGGAGTCTAGCTTCCATAATCCCCAGCAAGCATAGCCATAGGAGGTGTCTAGGAGTTAACAGTCCAAACACACACACCCAACGTTTGGAAGCTCTGCTTGGGATCAAGTGTTGACTCCAGGTTGTGGAAGGCCCTTTGGCAATCTACACTCAGGTTTCGCCCTGAGGAGCCTCATTTCAGTACTGCTGCCCTGGTTTCTGTGCTCAGTCTAGCCCTCTGCCTAGAGAGAGAGCAAAGTGAGTGAAAGCTCTTGTTACTTCTGCAGTATTTGTCATTGCTTACTGCAAAGTGCAGGTGAATAGAAAGTGACAGCAGGGAGAAGGAGGAGCAGCAGCAGCAGAAGAAGAAGAAGAAACTGGATGGATTAGCAATGGGCCCTGTACTTTGGAAAGGGCAGAGGGTTTGGTAGATGCCTGATAATTCTGGCTGGCCACACCGAGATACACATTCCAGGTAATGCAGCTCTTGAGTGGTTTGGTCAGAAAGGCAATATAAAGTTATTAAGGAAACAAAAAAAACTACCATAAAACTTTATTGAAAAACATTATTTAAGGTAAAAGATTCAGCTTAAAACACACTATCAACCTTATATCTTGTTTTGGAGGGAGAAATCCTATATTTATTAAGCACAGCTAGTGGAAAACAATATCTGAAGAGGGCTGATTAGATTACGTGCTATATGCATATTACAATTACAATCAAGAAGAACAACAAGAGGACAAAGTACAGAATTAAGCTTTCTTAACAATTCATCTTACTCCTGCTCTCACCTCTTTCTACTAAATACTTACAGCAATCTTAATTGCAATCAAAAGTGTCTACTCAAATGTCTCCTGAGCTCTTTGAAGCTAGAGGGGCAACTAAATAGATAGAACAGAATGATTCTAAGTATTTTAAAAACTCTGCTGCATATTGTATGCAAAACAGAAGAAATATTCCAACTTTTCTCTATTTATTTATTTATTTATAGAAAGGCTGCAAAATTCTACTTCCCTTGGCTCATAAACGAGTTTGTCTCAGCACAGACATCTAATATTGCTTTGTATTAAAATGCAGAGACCTATTAGCTTAGGACACAGACTCAAATCCCCAAACAGCTATGAAGCTCACCAAGTGATTATGAGACAGTCACTGTCTCAACAAAACCTATCTCACAGGAAGACTGTAAGGATAAAACATGATAAACCTCTGTGCTACCACCCGGTGTGAACTGCTTCTGAATTCTTTGGAGGAAAGAAGGGACATAGATCACACACACACTTTTCAAAGAATCAAACAATCGCTCAGATCGATCTATTCTGGATTCCAGAAGGATGTTCTTTAATCACTTAGAACATATTGTGTATTTAGAAGACATATTTATGACTGTGACTAACAAAACAAAAATATTAATTGTCTATAGCAAAGTATGTCATCCTCTCATTATACTGTATACATATGGATGATTTAGAGCAGGCTGCCACTTCATAGCTGAGAAACGCTTCGAAGCACCACTTCCTAGGTTCATGTTCAACTTCTCCAAACCTAATGGCTCACAAAGCTCGTAAAGGATCTTTTATTTGACAAGCAGAATGAAATACTTTTCTAATCAACCCCGTATTAAACAAGATGACAGCAAAGATGAGCTGTCATTAGCGTGTTGCTATGTGAAATATTTCTGTGTTACATATCATGGAAACTGAGGTTGTGAGCAAGTTACCCCAAGGGCATGCTGGTGAGCTTGTAATTCATTCCTCACATAGTATTTGTCCTCCTCCTCCTGAAACCCAGATCAGTAACCAGCCTGCTCACCCACATCATGCCATGGCATCCTGGCCCCAGTATTTAGCGATCTACTCACGCTCATACGTATGAGCACATAGACGCTCTTTCCTACATACTACATACCGTTTGCACTAGCCAAGGTTTAACAAAACAAACACTACCCCAAAATTATTCTTTTAGTTTCCTTATCTGTCAAGGATATCCAGGATGATTGTTTGGAGGGTAAAGACAACCACCCATAATTTCTGAAAGAAGTGCTATACCTCAGTTCTGCCTAGAAGTGGCATATTTCATATTAAAATCTTCTTCCAACTCTCACATGAAATCTCACTTGTACTGGAGTTGGCAAGGATTACTTGTTGATAAGGGAAACATAATTTTTTTTAACATGATGTCTCAGCTCCAAAATGTGAACTTCACAACAGAGAAAGAGTTCAGCCTGGATTCACATTATGTCATGGAGGGTAAAAGGAACAGAAAAGATTCAACTGTTAGTAGGTTCTATAAGGTAATACATTTTAAATTATTTCAGTTGCTCTCATAAATGCTACTCCACTTTAAGAAATATGTTGCAATTATTCCTATTTTATAGATTCGGTAGCCTAAGGGACAAAGACATTATTGTCCCAGAGCCTCTCTCCAGAATGTACTGATAGAGAATGCATTCACACCCACCCACAGATGTATACACACGCATGCACATGAGTACACACAGCAATATCTTTCTCTCTCACCGTAAGATTCCTGTCCATCCTGAGTCTTCCACGGCACTTCTGCTGGGCCATCACTGCCCCAGCGCGGCGCCATCGCCTCTCCCACCATTCCGCATTGTCATTTCGCAAATTCGTCAGCCAGATGCAACGGGGTTCGGGCAAGCTGCAGTCCACCCCAACCGCTCGCTCAAAACGCCAGCCTTTCCCTGACCGCGCCACTGTCCACACAGCTTTGCCCACCACTGAGACGCCATGACGTGGCAGGGCTGGAGGACGTGGGGATCCCCGTGGCCCGCCACCACGAGGAGCCCGATCTCCCCGGCTTCTCCCTTCTTCCACCATTCCACTCTGGTGTGCAAAAATTCCTGGCCCAGAGACAGCAATGCTGAAAGTGACAGAACTGGACGATTAGAACAAACTTTGGATGTATCCAGGAAAACGCTTTCAAGCTGGCGCTCACCTCCTGCTGCCAGGCTGGTTCAGTTCCATCCAGATTCTTTGGACAGTAAACACAGCCTCCTGCTTGATTTGTTCCCTGAATCTAAGTACAGAAGAATCTGCTTGCTTGTATTTTGTCCTGCACCCCGCCCTGTTCAAGAAGTTGCTCTCGATCAGCTCTTTCGCCTCATGTATCATTGGGCAAAATGTTGATTCCCAAGTCCAGGCACGCCAGATATCTGTACACAAACACACTCAAGAGAAACAAAGCAACCGGCCTTGTAACACCACGTTCTGCTTCCTACTGCAAGAAGAAACAGAACGGGGAAAAGCCCCGAGACCGCATAGAGGAAACTAATTACACACGGAGAAGGAGAGGAGGAGGAGGAGGCGGTGGCGGCAGCAAATTCTGCCCTATGGGAATGAGAAGGATGCAAATCAGAGAGTCTCAGTTGTGACTTGACAGCTAGGCAGACAGAAAGAGAACAGAGCGTTGCTCATTCACTCCACACAGACAGCCCTGCAGCTGCTCTGAGCTATCAGGCCACCTCTGCCCCACCCCACCCCCCCTGTGACCCTGCCCACTCCAGCTGACACCCATCTCAGAGTCCACCCCGGACTGTGTCAAGGCAGAGAGAGGGACAGGCAGAGAGGAAAGACATCGCTGTACAATTTTTGCCGGTGGTATGGTCAGTCAAATCTGCCGTGTTTCTTTAAAAACACATCATAAACCCCAGCTTCCTTGCTTTGTTTTTGAACATATTTGGTGGAGCCGAAGGGCTTTATTCAATTGTCAGGGAGGCCAATGTCCTCTTTTTTAAATATATATATATATCTGCATCCTGAGCACTGAGGAAACTCGAGTAGCCCACTATTCAGTAACAGAGCTTAGAGGAATAAATACTGTTTGGACTGCAACTCCCAGCATGGTTATTAACCTGGCTGGCAGATTCTGGATGCAGTTTAAAAAAAAAACCCAACTTTTTCTACCACATTTCCCTCATAAATCCTTGTGGAGCTTTGAATTTTACTTTTAGAAGAAATAATGCCACAGCCCATTAAATAATAATATATCTTCCTAAACACCAAACAATTTAGTTATTATTAAATTAGCAATTATTCTTACTGCCAAAAAGGAATGAATCACAAAGGACTTGGTACCTGTAACCATTTACTTTTAAGCGTTGCTTCCCTAAACCAATTTTTTTCCATGCCCCTTATTAATGGTTGGTCTTTTCAACTGAAACTTCCAAGTTGTCTTTCCCTCATAAATCCTTGTGGAGCTTTGAATTTTACTTTTAGAAGAAATAATGCCACAGCCCATTAAATAATATATCTTCCTGAACACCAAGCAATTTAGTTATTATTAAATTAGCAATTCTTCTTACTGCAAAAAAGGAATGAATCACAAAGGACTTGGTACCTGTAACCATTTACTTTTAAGCGTTGCTTCCCTAAACCATTTTTTTTCCCATGCCCCTTCTTAATGGTTGGGGTCTTTTCAACTGAAACTTCCAAGTTGTCACTCACTCAGGGATCCTCCCATCATTCTGGCTCAGTTTCCTAATTAATACAATGCCACCTGACAGCATATAAGCAAACAAAGGCAGGTTCCTCCCTAACCTGCTTATTTTACGACATACCAAGTTTCTTCTTCACATATTACAAATTCAAGTCTGGTCTACCTATGTTGCCCTTATGCAAAGAGCAGGGTGCTGCCAAGCGTTTGGCCAGCCCAAAGCATTTTGCTCCCTGAGGCAAAGGAGAAAATTGCACCCACTCCCACTCCATTTACAGACTCCGCAGCTGAAGCTTACTGCTAGATGATAAATCCATGGAACAGCATCCTTCACCACACGTGAAGACATTAGACTACTTTAGGGGGTGCAGGCGGGTTCTGTTACTCATGGAGCATTATCTATCAAGAGAAGGCCAGACAAACCCAGGGAGATGAGGTGAGAAGCTGCCATGGATGCAATCCAGCCTCTGCCAGCTGAGGCAACCGCCTCACTAGTTGGGGGCACATATGGATCCCCCAACTACAGAGCATTTCTGTAGTATTCATTATTATTATTCCTTTATTTTTAATTTTAAATATTCGAATATTTCTTCTCATCACTGCGAGGACTTCCACTGAGGCAACCGCCTTACTAGCTGGGGGCACATATGGATCCCCCAACTCCAGAGAATTTCTGTAGTATTTATTATTATTATTATTCCTTTATTTTTAATTTTAAATATTCGAATATTTCTTCTCATCACTGCGAGGACTTCCACAAGGAAAGCCATGCTAGACAATAGATTTGGGCAGGAAAAAGCCAGTTCTTATTTTAAAAAGACAACTAATGAGAAGCTTTTCACAAAAGTTGAAAAGTGATATTCCAAATAATAATTTCAAGATAATGCACACAAATTATTATTGATATTGAACATACAATGTCCTTTTTTTGCTAAAATACAATTCAGGGACAGGTTAACAATCAAATATTATCTTGGCAAGAACTTGGAAGCAGTTATCTACAAATAACAAGGTACTTGTAGTTACCTCATCTTTACTGTAGACCATAACTCTAATGGTAAAACCACCCCTAAAATATCTCACATACTTTGAAAACCCTATTAGGGTAGTGAAACGTTGGATGAGACTTGATGGCGCATAACAACAAAACCATAATTAAGTTACATTATGATCAGCATATAACAACAGATAGCTTCATTCTTTTTGTGTTTTTTTTAACACAAGTATTTATTTGAACCAAAAGAAAGAGGGAAAAGCAGGGAAAAGGAAATAAACAAAGGGGAATATACAAAATGTAGTCATGGTTTATAAATACAGTATAACTTGTACAGTATTATGTTTAATGTTTTTTGCAGGTCATGGACCATAATAATAATAAACTGAACTGAACTGAAAAGTAATCATGAGCTAGACATATACTGTACATTAAAACAAGCTGACCATGTACATATAAAAAGAGATTTTGTTCAAAGCAGATGATGGTCAAATAGTGGACAGTGTTATTGAAGCTACCAACATGAATTTAAACAAGCTCAGGGAGGCAGTGGAAGACAGGAGGGCCTGGCGTGCTCTGGTCCATGTGAACATTAAGAGTTAGACATGACTTAACAACTAAACAACAACAACAACAAAGTTGTGAGGTTTCAACTCAGTGGCTACCAGTTCAGCTCCAGGGGCATAGTTAAAAGTACATATACGTCTACAAATATAAAATATTTTAATACACAATGCATCTGACCCAAAAGGGTCACCATTAGACACACCTATAAAATATACGTCCAGGAAGTACAGTATAATGCTAAAATCTAGCTGAAGTGGTCAATTCCTTTCTAAATAAATAAAGAGTTTACATCACAAAACACACCCAAAAGGTGAAGCTGCATCTTCCTGCAACTAGCAATTTTGCCCAAAGCTTCAGCATAGAACAGATCATAACATTGAAGGCTAGATAAGGAAAGCAAGATTGCATGGCAAAAGAAGAGAGAATTTTGATCTTAGCATTAAGCATTTCCATGGGATCAGTAAAGGAAGGGATTTCCTTGTCTTTTTGTGCACTTCTAACCTCAGCAATACCAAAACAAGACATGTGAAAAAGCCTCCCCCCCCTCCCATCGAAAGTGGGGTGATTGGAGGCTAGGAAATATTTTACTTTTGGGTAAAGCTTTGGGTATACCAGAGCACAGTAAACTCTCCTAGTATTATCCTGCCACCACGTCTTAAAATTACATTGTTGTTTTTACTGNTTGCCACCATAATCTTTATCCTATTGTTATCAAGATAGCAAGTGATATGTAAATGGTTATTGGGACTATTATCACAAATTACCCCATTGGCCACATCCACTGTTACCTTCTTCCAGGCATAAGCACCCTTGGGGTATGCTAATCTGAGGCTAACAAAGAAAGCACAGTGCTGCAGGCCCTTCTACGGAGGCAATATTGTTTAATGAGCTGGAACAAGCTCCTTGTGTGTTTGGGGTATAGGTGCAGAAGGAAGAGAGGGAGGCAAATGGATGGGCTGTGACCCATGTCTGACCCCAACCCAGTTTATGTTTCCTCAGTCTTGCTTAGGGCAGGTTTATGAGCTTGAAAGACACAGGCTGCTAAAGCTTAATTTGGGGTCCCTAGCTTAAAGCCAAAACCTATTTTTTTAATGCAAGGGCTCAACCATAGTGACCTAGTCCTAGAGAAGAGAACTGCTTTCCAGGCACCTGCACAGCAATTTGGTAAACATTAGAGTGAAAACTGGCATCACATTTTTAGAGCAATGAGCCCAGTCTCCAAGTGATCTCCTGGTATTCTGTCTAAACATACTTTACCACTTCAGGTTGAAGCTATGTTACTTACTTACCTACTTATGAATGAATGAATGAATGAATGAATGAATGAATGAATGAATGAATGAATGAATGAGTAAGTTCTGCAGGTTAGAAACAAAAGTCAACTATGCACAGTAGTGATTGGCTAGTGCCCAACAATCTGATCAGGAAACAATTCTGCCTTAATATCCATAACACTTCAATTTTTGGTCAGTTTAGTTTGTAAAAGGGGGAAATATGAATAGATAACAGTATCTATATCAGTACTGTAATGTGTGTGCTGTTTAAAAAGAAATGAGGATGCAATTCTGCTGATACGCTGGGAGAGGCAAAACAGAAGACTGAACTAGTCTGCTAGTTTCATTAGTAAGTGCATCATCCATTTCAGCTCTAAAGAAAATCTCTCTTCATCTGATGGATCCACCAACTCTCATTTTATGTTACATCTGTTTTCACCTTGAGTAACTGGATGAGCTGCACATACTTGTGAACTGAGGTACTGGGTGAAAATCTTCCTGTATTCCTATCCAAGCAGCTTGCTTTGTTAAGAGTTGCCATAACGTTCAGTGTGCTTCACATACACTATGTCTGTAATCCTTACAACAGTTCCTTAAATGGTTCAGAATAAACTAGTGTTTGTAGTGGACCTGATATTTGAACCAGAGACCTTCTGCTTCATAGTTCATAATGTTAGCCACTATATCACACCAATTCAGAAAACTGAACAAGAGCTGCCACTTTTAAAACCTACAGATAGAAAAGCTGGGATGAAATCTAAACATAAAGGAAAATATAGGAGCAGAACTCAAGGATGGGAGTCATCCTGACCGACAAGATACAAAACTATGGTCCTCCAGTTTTTGAAGGTCTACCATTTTGCTTTAATTCCAGGCACTGTAGCCAGTGATACCATGAGAGCTCATCTTTGCTGCATATCTTTCACAAGGCTGCTCACACATGCTGTTGACAGCAA